GGGAGTGCTTAACGTCTTTAAAATACGTAGGGAGTGCTTAACGTCTTTAAAATACATAGGGAGTGCTTAACGTCTTTAAAATACGTAGGGAGTGCTTAACGTCTTTAAAATACGTAGGGAGTGCTTAACGTCTTTAAAATACGTAGGGTGCTTTCCGTCTTTAAAATACGTAGGGAGTGCTTAATCGTCTTAAAAATACGTAGGGAAGTGCTTAAACGTCTTAAAAATACGTAGGAGTGCTTAACTTCTTTAAAATAACTAGGGAGTGCTTAACGTCTTTAAAATACGTAGGGAGGTGCTTAAGCGTCTTTAGAAATACTAGGGAGTGCTTAACGTCTTTAAAATAGTAGGAGTGCTTAACGTCATTAAAATACGAAGGGAGGTGCTTAACGCTTTAAAATACGTAGGGAAGTGCATCTTAACGTCTTTAAAATACGAAGGGAGTGCTAACGTCTTTAAAATACGTAGGGAGTGCTTAACGTCTTTTAAAATACGTAGGGAGTTGCTTAACGTTTAAAATACTAAGGAGTGCTTAACGTCTTTAAAAATACGTAGGGAGTGCTTAACGTCTTTAAAATACGTAGGGAGTGCTTAACGTCTTTAAAATACGTAGGGAGTGCTTAACGTCTTTAAAATACGTAGGGAGTGCTTAACTGTCCCTTTAAAATACATAGAGGGAGTGCTTACAACGTCTTTAAAAATACTAGGAGTGAATCTTAACGTCTTTAAAAATTACTAGGGAGTGCTTAACGTCTTAAAAATACGTAGGGAGTCTTAACGTCTTTAAAATAATCGTAGGGAGTGCTTAACGTCTTAAAATACTAGGAGTGCTTAACGTCTTTAAAATACGTAGGGAGTGCTTAACGTCTTTAAAATACGTAGGGAGTGCTTAACGTCTTTAAAATACGTAGGGAGTGCTTAACGTCTTTAAAATACGTAGGAGTGCTAACGTTTAAAAATACGAGTAGGGAGTGCTTAACCGTCTTTAAAATACGTAGGAGTGCTTAACCGTCGTTAAAATACGTAAGGGATGCTAACGTCTTCAAAATACGAAGAAGAGTGCTTAACTCTTTAAAATACGTATGGAGTGCTTAACGTCTTTAAAATACGTAGGGAGTGCTAACGTCTTTAAATACGTAGGGAGTGCATTAACCTGTCCTTTAAATACATAGGGAGTGCTTAACGTCCTTTAAAATACGTAGGAGTGCTTAACGTCTTCAAAATACGAAGGGAGTGCTTAACGTCTTTAAATACGTAGGGAGTGCTTAACCGTCTTTAAAATAACGTAGGGAGTGCGTTAACGTCTTCTTAAAATACGTAGGGGATGCTTAACATCTTTAAAAATACGAGTAGGGAGTGCTTAAACGGACTTTAAAATACGTAGGGGAGTGCTTAACTCTTTAAAAATACTAGGGAGTGGCTTACCGCCTTTAACATACTAGGGATTGCTTAACGTCTTTAAATACGTAGGGAGATCAGGCTTAAGCCTTTAAAATAAATACGATAGGGAGTGCTTAACGTCTTTAAAATACGTAGGGAGTGCTTAACGCCTTTAAAATACGTAGGGAGTGCTTAACGTCTTTAAAATACGTAGGGAGTGCTTAACGCCTTTAAACATACTTAGAGGGTGCTATAACGTCTTTTAAAATAACGTAGGGAGTGCTTAACGCCCTTTAAATACGTAGGGAGTGAGCTAAACGTCTCTAAATACTAGGGAGTGCTTAACGTTCTTTAAATAATACGTAGGGAGTGCTTAACGTCATTTAAAATACGTAGGGAGTGCTTAACGTCTTTAAAATACGTAGGGAGTGCTTAACGTCTTTAAAATACGTAGGGAGTGCTTAACGTCTTTAAAATACGTAGGGAGTGCTTAACATCTTTAAAATACGTAGGGAGTGCTTTAACCTTCTTTAAAATACGTAGGAGTGCTTACGTCTGTTACAAATACGTAGGGATGACTTACACGTCTTACTTAAAATCCTTAGGGATGTGCTTAACGTCATTAAAATACGTAGGTAGTGCTTAAACGTCTTTAAAATACGTAGGGAGTGCTTAACGTGCTTTAAAATACGTAGGGAGTGCCTTAACCGTCTTTAAAATACGTAGGAGTGCTTAACGCTTTAAAATACGTAGGGAGTGCTTACGTCTTTAAATACGTATGGGAGTGCTTAAACGTCTTTAAATACGTAGGGAGTGCTAACGTTTTAAAATACTATGGATGCTAACTCTTTAAAATACCGTAGGGAGTGCTTAACGTCTTTAAAATACGATAGGAGTGCTTAACGTCTTTAAAATACGTAGGGAGGCTAACGTCCTTTCTAAAATATCTAGGAGTGCTTAACCGTCTTTAAAATACGTAGGGCAGTGCTTAACGTCTTTAAAATTCGTAGGAGTGCTTAAACCGTCTCTAAAATACGTAGGGAGTCTCTTACACGTCACTATTAAAATACGTAGGGATGCTACGTCTTTAAAATACGTACGGAGTGCTTAACGTCTTTAAAATACGTAGGGAGTGCTTAACGTCTTTAAAATACGTAGGGAGTGCTTAACGCTTTAAAATACGTAGGCGTGCTAACGTCTTTTAAAATACGTAGGGAAGTGCTTAACCGTCTTTAAAATACGTAGGGAGTGCTTAACGTCTTTAAAATACGTAGGGAGTGCTTAACGTCTTTAAAATACGTAGGGAGTGCTTAACGTCTTTAAAATACGTAGGGAGTGCTTCGACGCCTTTTAAACAAATGGAAGACTGACTGCAAACTGAACATTCAAGCCACGAGCTGCAGTATTGTGCTGAGTTGCCAAGGTGCCGGAATAATTGGTATAAACCATACCCCCGGCCGGGGGTATGGTTTATACCAATCGTGTCATTACGATTTCTTGAGTCCATAATTGGTATCGTTGATGGCAATAGTTTAACGTTTTATTAATTATATTATTATTATTATTAATATGATTATTTTATTATTATTATTATTATTATTATTATTTTTGTTGTTGTTATTGTCTCACTCATCACGAGGTGGAAAATTATGGGAAAGGGAAAACTCATAAGAAATGAAAAGAAGAATTTAGACGCCGTAAACCGTTGTCACTTCGTGGCTCCAGGTGGAAGGACATCCTCAGCTTCACTCCGTCCAGATCGAAAAAATAAAATCCCCGACACGAGTGGAAACTTAAGGCAATGTAGTTTACACCTCTATCCAGTTTATAACCAGCATAAGAGGAATCTGGGGTTTTAAGTCAACTTACCCTGTTGCCGCGTTTCACCTAAACAGAAAGTAGGTACCTGGTATTAGCCACCTTACACCTAGCAGTAAGAACCTGGGTGTTAGTCACCTAACACTACTGTCCCTGTTCACCTAACAGTAAATAGTACTTAGTTGTTAATAGACTGGTGTGGGTGGCATCCTGGGGGACAGGACAAGAAAACCCAATGGTCCACCTGGCTACTGGGTTATCCAGGGGTGGCGTTAGAACCCTCCCCCGGATTGCAGATACGAGCAAAATCATGTTATTCAACGCACAGGTGCTCCCTGGAAACCACTTACCCCTCCCCCCATACACAAAACTAGGATACCTCCTCTAGAATTGAGACCTGACTAAAACTGATCTAAGGCGTCTTTAGCGATACTACGAGCCTAGATTCAACACAACGACCACCGACTGCAGTTCTCATTCTTATAGTGGTGGGTGGACCAGCATGCATGCCAAGAGTGACATCAATTCATTTGACATTTTCCAGATCCGCAGGCAACCTCCGGTAGTACTTAAGTCATCAGAGCAGTGGAACTGGTCACCCAGTGACCCACTGACCTTATTCTAACGTACATTTCATAGGTGTTACTGAAGAGATTGAATCACTCCACCGAATGGAAATTAGGTCATCTTAGGATGTGTCAAATCATGCAGGTTCTAAAAGATGGTGTAACAACAGCTGCAGTAATATCTATAAAAACTATGTTAAAATAGGGTCGTTACTTATGCCTTTTCCTTCCGTCTGGCAACGGAAAATATTCCCACCAAAGACACTAAAAGGGAAGGATTGGGCAGGAGGAATTAGACTACGTGTTTGCTGTTTATAAACCACTACTCAACACTTACCTTCAGATAGATGACACGTGGCTTCACCCTATCGTTGGGCGAAAACACGTTGTTAATGAGAAAATTATCAGACTGGTTCAAGTTGATAGGAAGGTGACAGTGGTATTCAGGACATCTCTGAATGCACAACACGTCGAGCCTTTAAGTGAATGGGTTACACCAGCAGATCACACCAGGTTCCACTCCGGTCGGCTAAGAACAGGTAACTGAGGCTACTGTGGCCACAGGCTTACCAAAACTAGGCAGTTGAAGATTGGAAAAATGTTGCCTGGTCTGACGAATCGCGATTTCTGCTGCGACATGCAGATGATAGTGTCAGAATTTGGCGTAAACCTTTGGAATGTGGTGGAACGAGTGATTCACAGCATGAATGTGCAGCTGAAAGATCTGCAGCAACTGCTGCATGCTGTTATGTTAGCGTGGATTAGCATCTTCGGAATGTTCCCCCTGTGAAGGCCTATACCACAAGAATTCAGGCTGTTTTGGGGCAATGGGGCTACCCAGTATTTAAAAAATTATAATATAATATATATATATATAATAATATTTATATATTTTATATAATAAAATATATTTTATATATATATATTTATATTATATATATATTATAAATATATATTTATAATATATATTTTATATATATATATATATTTATATATATATAAAATATATTATATATATATATATTTTCTATATATTACTGATCTACATATTCCCCTTCATACAAATTCATATGTATGGACACATGAATGTTCATGGCATATGTATTTTAAAAATTTCCAGTACACTGACATATTGATAAGTACACTGTTACATACACATTTATCAGAATATTTACACTACGTCGTTACAAGTGAAATCTGAAGTCATCTGAACAGAATCCTTAAATTAATAAAACAAATGCTACTCGTTTGTTTGTGTATTTCCTTTATTAAATAAGTTACACATATAAATGTCGAAATAATATCATATCTAAATACTTTTGTTTATTAATATGTAATTGTCCAGAGCACTGATGAATCGTGCTACGTATAACGACTGATGATGTGGAGCTTCGTTGTATGGCCGAGCAGAGCAAGAAAAATAGGTATTGGGATTGCAATTGTAATGGAACATAGGGATGCTATGATAAATTAGACACATGTGCAACTCTTGGGTATCTTTATCCTCAATAAAGATACCCAAGAGTTGTACATGTGTCTAATTTATCAACGTGTCGGTTCTCTGAACCATTCATCTACAATAGGGATGCTATGCTGGGTCCTGGACTCGTGTTTATTTTAACTGTTCCGCAAGTTGGTGGAAATATGGTGAGTGGAAGTCACAGAGAAGGAACAGGTTATGGAGGTGGAAGAAGCAGGTTTTAGAGAAGGAAGAACAACTGTCAGAGACAGAGAATCACGTGACGAAGCATCAGTGTAAGGAGTACCGGGAGTCGAACTCGCGTTCTTGCAAATGGACGGTAGTATGAGCCTTCCCTATTACTTACATGTTATTTTCGCGATACATCGAGATTTTTAGAGTCATGGAACATCAGTGGAAGAAAAAGTAGGCAGGCTCATGGGCTGTAAGCAAAATCAAGAAATAATATACAAAATTAAGACGGAATGCGCAATAAACTAGCCTAGGTCATTTGCAAATATTTTTAACGATTTGGGGAATATGCAAAGGGAAGATGCAATGTACAAGGAGAATCAAATGACCTTTAGGACAAAGCGAGAACCAAGCAGCGCCGTGTGACCTGGATTATTAGTTGCATACCAACAAGTGCAGCTTATGTGGGGGAAGACGGAAAAGCGAAGACTGGCTCCTTTAGGTAGTAGCTACGACCTTGGTGTGTGAGGTGTTCGGACAGTATGTTGCTAGGCTGTGGGGACGGGTTGAGCTGCACCAGCAGCTGGGTTGAAGGCTGCAGGGTTGGTGTTGAACTCATGGAGTAGTTGTTGATCTAGCAGTTGACGACGACGCTTCAGTTCCTGTTCCCGGGCACGAGCAAGCTGCTCCTGTTGTTCCTGTACGTCTAGAAGTTCACTGACGTCGCGGCCGAATTCATCCAGTATCTCTTCAACTTCTCGGCCGAATTGGTCGGTGAAGTGTGCGGAGCCATCAACATCAACGAACTGCAAGAATAGATGGATTAGTAGAGTGAATTAAATGGGAACAATTACGAAAGTTCATTTAGATATATAGTTTGAAAGACCTATACACAAATAACTTTGTAAATGCTCTGACTTGGACCATTTACAAACTCAAACTGTTAATGGTCCAATTGGACCGAAACGTCGTCGTAAGCTCCTCTCTCCTACGTGTAGGTTAATTATGCATTGTTCCAGCCTTTTTATTATTTATTGAAAGACCTAATTGATAATTTATTCTTCAAGAAAGCAATTATGAGGTCTTATACACCGAGCTTGTCAGTGGTTTTTTCACTATGGTAGAGAGGCTGCAAAACTGCGTCTAAAAAACACGTGAAAGTTGGGGAGGGAGTAGCCTATCGTTCTGTGGTGACCCACGCCAGCACTGGCCACTGATTTATATGTACTGGACTCTTATGGATATACAAACTGAGGTGTCTATCAGTGTATATATTCGGGAAGTTTAATCTCTGCAATAGGAAGTACTCTTCAATGGTAGGGAACCCGTTATATACAGCCTTAATGATCCACCAGCGTAGTAAATAGATTAAGTTCAGCTTATCTAACCAGTGACCTTAGGGACTGATTTCCTCTTCTACAATATTCCATTTATGGCCCTGTATCGTACTGATAAAGCCACTAGCTACCAAAACGTCAACAAAGATACCCAGATGTTGCAAATATATAATTCACCAGCCTGTAGTGACCTGGCCGCAAGTGGAGCACGTAGAAGCAGCCTTCACCACTCCTAAAGATCCTACGAGAGTTCACTCTTGCATGAGCCAAAATTTAACTCTATTGAGCTGTTTTTATAAATGTAACGACAAGTGACTCACCACTCTGATGTTGGGATTGGTAGCGGAGATTCTCTGTGCTTGTTGAGCTACCAGAGGATTCAGTGGGATGGCCAACGGGTTATTGAGTCCTGGGCCGAAGAAATTTGGCCCATAGTTCTGTACTGGAGCGCGTCCACCCACAGGAGTAGCAGCAGCGGGAGCAGCAGCTGCAGCGGCACCGGCTGCAGGAGCAGCAGCAGGTGTGGGATCAGCAGAGAGGGCAGCAGGTTCCTGGGCAGGAGTTCCAGGTTCTGATTGCGGAAAAGCTGAAGCAGTAGCTGCGAGAAGCACACACACCTGTCGAACAACAAATTTCACACCTGTTTACCTCAGTTACGAAACCAAGACATAGATAGAGAACAAAAAAAAAACAGGTTTAGAACAATCATTGGAACAACGTTTCGCTCTACGAAGAATATACGCTGTATACAGAGCGAAACTAAGTCTAATATCACATATGTAGTGACGATTTTATCCTACTTATAAAACCCATTACGTAAATAACCCACCATTAGAAGTATAAGAAACGTAAATAACCTACCTGGAGTTTACCTGGACAGAGTTCCGGGGGTCAACGCCCCAGCGGCCCGGTCTGTCACCAGGCCTCCAGGTGGATCAGAGCCTGATCAACCAGGCTGTTACTGCTGGCTGCACGCAAACCAACGTACGAGCCACAGCCCGGCTGATCAGGAACCGACTTTAGGTGCTTGTCCAGTGCCAGCTTGAAGACTGCCAGGGGTCTGTTGGTAATCCCCCTTATGTATGCTGGGAGGCAGTTGAACAGTCTCGGGCCCCTGACACTTATTGTATGGTCTCTTAAACGTGCAGTGACACCCCTGCTTTTCATTGCGGGGATGTTGCATCGTCTGCCAAGTCTTTTGCTTTCGTAGTGAGTGATTTTCGTGTGCAAGTTCGGTACTAGTCCCTCTAGGATTTTCCAGGTGTATATAATCATGTATCTCTCCCGCTTGCGTTCCAGGGAATACAGGTTCAGGAACCTCAAGCGCTCCAGTAATTGAGGTGTTTTTATCTCCGTTATTGCGCGCCGCGAAGGTTCTCTGTACATTTTCTAGGTCAGCAATTTCACCTGCCTTGAAAGGTGCTGTTAGTGTGCAGCAATATTCCAGCCTAGATAGAACAAGTGACCTGAAGAGTGTCATCATGGGCTTGGCATCCCTCGTTTTGAAGGTTTTCATTATCCATCCTGTCATTTTTCTAGCAGATGCGATCGATACAATGTTATGGTCCTTGAAGGTGAGATCCTCCGACATGATCACTTCCAGGTCTTTGACGTTGGTGTTTCGCTCTATTTTGTGGCCAGAATTTGTTTTGTACCATTAGAAGTATAAGCAACGTAAATAACCTACCATTAGAAACAAGAAACACATTCAGAGGAACGTACTGAGGAACGTACTGAGGAACCTACTGAGGAACCTACTGAGGAACGTACTGAGGAACCTACTGAGGAACGTACTGAGGAACGTACTGAAGGACATACTGAGGAACGTACTGAGGAACCTACTGAGGAACGTACTGAGGAACCTACTGAGGAACGTACTGAGGAACCTACTGAGGAACCTACTGAGGAATACTGAGGAACGTACTGAGGAATCTACTGAGGAACGTACTTAGGAACCTACTGAGGAACCTACTGAGGAACCTACTGAGGAACCTACTGAGGAACCTACTGAAAACACTGAGGAACCTACTGAAAAATACTGAGTGAACTACTGAGAACGTACTGAGAGCGTACTGAGGAACGTCTGAGGAAGTACTGAGGAACGTATGAGGAACCTACTGAGGCGTACTGAGGAAACGATACGAGAGAAACGTACTGAGGAACGTACTGAGGAAAAAGTTACTGAGGAAGTATGAGGAATCGTATGAGGAACGTATGAGGAACTATGAGGAACGTACTGAGGAACGATATTGAGGAACGTAGAGGAAACCGTACTGAGAACGTACTGAGGAACACTGAGGAACGTACTGAGGAACGTAATTGGGAAGTATGAGAACGTACTGAGGAACGTATTGGGAACGTTATGAGGAACGTTACTGAGGAACCTACGAGGAACGTTACTGAGGAACGTATTGAGGACGTATGAGGAACTACTGAGGAAGTACTGAGGAACGTACTGAGGAACGTATTGAGAACGTACTGAGGAATCTACTGAGGAACGTAGCTGAAAACGTACCTGAGGACGTACTGAGAACCATACTGAGAACGTACTGAGGAACGTACTGAAGAACGACTGAGGAACCTACGAGGAACCTACTGAGGAACACTGAGGAACGTAGAGGAACGTAATGAGAACTACTGAGGAACCTACTGAGGAACGTACTGAGGAACGTATTGAGGAACGTACTGAGGAACGTACTGAGGAACGTACTGAGGAACGTACTGAGGAACGTACTGAGGAACGTACTGAGGAACGTACTATCTGCAAAACAAGCTAAAACTCTCCACAACAATTATCAAAATCTGTTTTAAACCCTCAAACATTCATTATTAATTACGTTAATTACGTTTTAGAATTATTTTTCTGAATTCTTAATGTAACTTGGCAGTGACTATATAATAAATTAGCTAAAATTAAACCTATTATTAGAAAACTGCAAGAGCAAATGATTTTTATTATTATTATTATTATTATTATTATTATTATTATTATTATTATTATTATTATTATTATTGAAGGTAATCAGGCGTGTTTCAGGGAAGAGTAGGATGCATTGTATTGCTTGGATCAAGAGCCCGTCACAAGCATCAAGGCTCATGATGTGATATCACTCGGGGCGTCAGAAGGTTAACAAGTGTCTGCAGTTTAACTGTATCTGATATTACGTAAGTGTCGAGACGAGGTTTTTGTCGGGTGTTAACGTAATAACGCGGGGTTCCTCTCTTTCACTGGTAATGAATATTTCGTTATTTGCCCCTTCCCAAGCCCCATAACGCTACGCAAGCCCACCATGGTTGCTAGAATCACACTGACACACGACGGCGCAACAAGGGGGTCGCTGGGGCTTCGACGCCACACTGACACCCCCTGAATTCACTACACACACTGACACCACACTGACACCACACTGACACCTCACTGACACCACAAAGCTCTCCAACTTACAATGATCCTCATGGTGTTGAAGCGTGTGGAGACCAAATGCGATGAGAGGTGGTGGTGGAGGTCTTTATATACCTCTGAAGGATGCAACACACGCCCTCAAATGTCATGGCGCACATCGTTGCTTTGTCCACAGTGAACCAAGGTGAGGCTTTTTACCATCCACCGAGGCTGTAGAGTTGAAAACTACTCTTACTGTCACGTGGAAGCGGCAAATTCACGCCCATACAGCGCCTGGGAGGTAAAGCAGGTACCTGGGTGTTAGTCGACTGGTGTGAATCGCATCCCGGGGACAAAACTGACTTAATTTGCTCGAAATGCTCTGTATAACAAGGGCTTTTGTATTTAGTGATGTTAGTTATGGTATATATACCTTGTTCATGTACTTGTAGAAATAATGATGCTAGCAAAGTCACTAAATTCAAAAAATATTTTTTTGTTGATAATAAAGACATTAATTGGGACTTTATGTGTAATAAAGATAGAAATTGCTGTTATGGTCGATGTTATTATATTGTTTCTTTAAGGATTTGATTTTATTAACTGTTGAAAAAGATAATTTGTGAGGTAAAGAAATACTCTGAGGTGAGTCTCGGCGGAGTGGAGGTAAGAAGGTCGAAGAAGTTAGGGAGGAAGGTCAGGGAAGTGAGGTATCAGAACGAGATCAGGAAGGAAGGTCAGGGATTGGGATCAGGAAGGGAGGTCAGGGAAGTAAGATCAGGAGGGTCAGAGAGTGAGATCAGGAAAATTAGGAATTGAGATCAGGAAGGGAAGTCAGGGCGTGAGATCACAAAGGGAGGTCAGGGAAGTCAGAGAGTGAGATCAGGGGCTTAAAGAACAACACTCTATGGTAAAGAAGTATATAGATCGTGAACGGCTGCGTTGTACATGTTGCGACGATATATATTCCTGCAGGCCAGTCTACACGCAATGATCTGTTTCATCCATATAGTCACGATAGTGAAGACCGTGTTTTATTTGTCAGGAAACAGGAAAAGTGTTTCCTGACACGAGTCTAGGTGGTGGATACGGTGTTTTATTTGTCAGGAAACAGGACAATTGTTTCCTGACACGAGTCTAGGTGGTGGATACGGTGCTTTATTTGTCAGGAAACAGGACAATTGTTTCCTGACACGAGTCTAGGTGGTGGATACGAAGTTTTATTTGTCAGGAAACAGAACAAGTGTTTCTTGACAGGTATAAATGACTACAGTAATCTATGAAACATAAACTGGTCTGCCTATACTCACTACTGACTTTCGTGCTAAGACAATATTAAACCCCCATAGTCAAGTTACCATAACATCCATGTGTTGGTAATGTATTTGCTTATCAATAACAATATATATACATTATATATACATTATATATACATTCGTGTATTGTAACAGCTAATTTGTAAGTTCAAGCAACACCTGCTGCTGCAGCGTATGATTCGTGGTATGAAATACATATAAATCGTATAAGTAAAAATTACAGGAAAATGAGAGGTATTAAAATTACTTACAAAACATATTAAAATTCATCACTTTGTGAGCTAATATCACTTAAAATACAAAGTAATCAGGCCATTTTCGGTGTCTTACCTCTCTTTGTCTTCCCACAGTCTTGTTTCCACTGTCTTCCCATAACCTTTCTTACCTATGTGCCTACCCATGACTTACCTCCCTCCCTGTTTACCCACGACCTTTCCACAACTATCTTATCCCAGTTTTTAGGTCTCTTAAGACCAAAAATAAGAAAAAAAACTGCTTTTGGCGCATCTTATGTACAAAATAATTAGTGTTAAGATTAAGACAGGTCATAGCAGGTATCTACGCTAGTTAGGTTAGGTTAAATTAGTTATGCATGGTGGTTAAGTTAGAAAATGTGTGAATGCTGTTTTATTTACATAAAATTAATAGTTTTTTCACTGCACTATTTGCCTGTGCCATTTTAACTTGACCTTGTCAGATCAGTGGACAGTTTTTCGATGGGCGGAGAAATGCTTATCCCACCTAAAGGTTATCGTAGGAAATTCCCATATTAGAGGGCACTAATGTTGTCTGACGATGTAAACACCGCTGCCTTGGTCTTCCTGAATGAGCATTTCTTCACAGCTTCCTGGTTGTAAGATAGGCACGTGAAGCGATCAAGGCTTCAGGACCGAAAGATCTTACAAGTGTGTGGAAATTTGAAGTCTCGGTATCACTCATATCTCAAACGGGAGTATAGACTCACGACCAGGTTGTGGCCTCTGGTAGCATCTTTAATATAGTGTTCTAAGTGTATAAATTAGCATCCGGTTCTCTATATTTGGTAGTAGGTTGAGAGCTGGTCTGCAGCCTCGACTCCCAGTTTGGCTTGCGGGTCGTGGGACCTTCAAGAACTGCGGGTCAAGGTAGCCCTGGATAGATAGGAGGGCACTGGTGTTTTGCTAGGGTCAAGCTTTCGTCTAGTGGGTATGCACACTATTGACCCTAGATTGATGACCCTGCGATGGTTACCCCCTCATATTTCATAATTATCCCTGAAGCCGGTGATGTATACAGTGCCTCCTTCGGACTGCTTCGAGGTAGTTAGATGGAATTACGGTTTTTGCTGATGGAGGCTGTCAGGCGAACTGGTAGGCCTACGAATCGTTCTGCGCAAAAGCCACCTTCTGCCTGTTTTGTATTGGTTGATTTATTTAGGTTTAAAGCCTATAGATTGCCACCAGGATCATTAAACCTGCAAGCTAACCTGCCCACAACTACGAACACATTAATCCCTAACATGGATTTTAGAGGATTAATGCAAAATTTAAGAATACACTTTCTGAGATATACAGCCATCTACATGAACATACACTCTTGCCCTAACTTCACACACGTCAAAACATACTCATACGAAGATATACATAGTGTATTCTGTATTACTGCTTGACCCGTCGACCTGACCTACCCACGATATTTCTGACTATCTTCTCCAGTGTATTTATCTTCCCCGGTTCTTCATTGAAACACCTCGTGTGTTACTTTCAGCTGCTGGTCTTAAATCCTCGCTGCCTCAACGTGTTTATTACGAACACAGGTAAGAATGGCTTGTGACCTGGTCATAATGGGTTTGCAGCAAAACAAACTCAGCAGTAATATTCTGACATGTATTTCCTTCAGCAGATATATACAATTATGTACACTTATGTACAGGAGTTGAATATATGTGTACCACACGGTGACAAAGGGCAAAGACAGAAGCCAGAAGGAGAGCACCGTCCATCAACCAGCTAGAGTCAAGTCTGGCAAATGCTGACCACAAGTGAACCACGTCGCCTCAGCATTTGGCGGGCTCATCTGTGATTGGACAATAAACCAAGATAGAGATAAGATAAGATACTGATTTAACGACGGGTACGCTAAGAAATCGTTAAACCCTCAACACCCGGTTCGCTGGCTGGGAAGCGAACATGGGAGTGTGTACATAAGCCGAAGAAATGTAACATACTCTTTGCATGCAACAATCTCGCTATTACCAGACGATTTATGGAGCCTCCAACACTCCTCACAGAATGACCCATATAGATTTACCACTTATAAATAATATATTTCAGCTGCAGGGCCTTTCCAGAGGTCTGACAACACTGTGGTGGCGTCAGAGATTCAACTGTCACAAAGTAACTTCCTACACCGAGGCGATTAAATCTTTTAACGCCAGCATGGTACAGTGTTTAATTTTGCTTTTAGGATCAGCTGGTTATTGGACTGAATATATGCAATCTTGTTTAATGATTTCAAGAACCGAGGATTATTTGTAACAATATTTGCAAGAGTCTACAATTTTACCAAAGTTTCTGTTGGCGTTATGTTCAGCATTACTAGAGACTTTCTATAAATTACGTCAGTCATATAAAATTTTCCATATCAACTAACCAATACAGGGACTAGACAAATAGGGTTCAACAAGCACCTGGACACGTTAAAGGCAATCAATTTCGACCAAAGGGAACACAAGACCAGTTCCTCAATTCAAAAAGGCCTTCACTAGCATCAAGGAATCTCCTGGAGCTGGTCATGAAGTACAGTGATGCAGTCTTTGAAGGGTAATCTACATGTCCTTCCTAAGAGGCAAACTCTCAAATTACCGAATCTTTCCCCAACTTCTAAGTCCCAATTCATGCAACATTTGGGAATGTTTATTTCGTTTTTCAGAATAGATAATCAAATGTTGCACAAGTCTTACTTATCAACTAGCCGGTTTTCTAGACCTTTTATGTAAACCCCGATTACTGTCGTAGTCGGGGTTTGGTGTCTAACGAAATCTTAATACGATTGCAAACAAATCACAGAACGGGTGAGATTTGAACCCACTGAAATTGAATTTTAAAACTCGCTTGACATGGGTTCAAATCCCATCCGTTCTGTGAATCATAGTCTTACAACCATAAAATTTGAAAAAAATTACTAAGTATGCCTCTGTAAACAAAGATACGTAGAGTACAAGATGTTCCAACTCGTCAACGAAAACGTACTCCACCAGAAAAGCGAATCAACACAAGAGAACAGCGTTCTCCAGGAGAGGCAAGAAGAGTTCTCTGGGCAATGAACAAGAAGAGTGGATTATAATTATTATAATTATGAGGAGCACTAAACCCGTAGGATTATACAGCCCATGTGGGGGGGGGATGGAAAGTATTTAGGCTCAATTCAGGGAACCGGAGCACAGATCCAATTCCCTAGATCAAGAGCCCTTCACCAGCGTCAAGGAACCTAGGAACCTCCCTTGAGGGGTCTCTCCGTGGAACACCTCGCAAAAGACACTGTAAATAAGAGATTAACAGCGCAACTGCCCACTCAAAACTCTCAAATATGCTAGCACAGAGAGAATAATTCACGTGTAATATCCTGCCAATTAATGCAGCTAAACATATAACACAGTACTACAACACATGGCATTTTCGTTATAGCTATTAACGAAAATAGTATTAGGAATATAATAGGTAAAAAAATTAAATCATATAGATAAATTGCGTCTGTTTTTTGAAGACGCTACACACATACACACACACACACACACACACACAACACACACACACACCACACACACACACACACACACATACGTACGTACGTTCCTTGATACCTTCCTTGACTTCCTCTACAGCAAACTTCACTGACTAAT